AAGGGTGGGTGCCTCACAGCAATGGGGCTGGGGCTGCGGGCCAACCTCGAGGGAGGCTTCATCCTAATTCATAATGAGGCCGTTCTCGTTCACTCGCGCGTTTCCACAGCAACGACGGGAGGCGAGTCTCATCTCCAAAACACAAGGCGCGCGGCGAACGACATGGCCGGGGGCTTGGGGCTTTGCAGGGGAAGGGAGGGCTTGCTTTGCAGCTGCAGAAAGGCCTCCCTGGGCGCCCAGGAGCCCCCTCAGCCACGGGCAGCCARCACCACTGCGCGGCCGGCCCCAGGCAGCCCCTGCAGGCCCCGGCACTGCCAACCCCACTGTGCTTGCAGCAGGGCAAAACCCAGCGGCGGCAGGGAGCTCAGAGGGCGAGCGTGGCCCCTGCGCGGGGAGCTCRCCCTGCTCTGCGGCAGCCTGAGTGCTCAAAGGTACCGCAGCGCAGCGGGAATGGAGCCCATCCACCACGCTTCCCAGAGCTGGTGCTGAGGGGGCACATTACAGGTCCAAATGCCACAGCTGTGTTCAGAGCTGTGGTTGAACCCTAAGACTTCCCTCCCAATGTCAGCGAGGACGTTGGCCATCTCTGTGACACGTTATAAGGAGGAAAATTGGGATTTCTTCACAGATGTTTGTAAGCAAATCCACTTTTTCTAAGAGAAAAACTCAGCTTGCGCTGTAAATCTTAATCAAACATCATACTGAAATGTAGTCAAWCTCCTGTTGATTTCCACAGGACCCRGACATGAACCATCCTGGAAATATTTTCAATAACTCAGTGTATCACCAGAAGTSTCCTGGCTGTGGGACAGAGTTTATAAAGCACAGGCCCCTCAGTTTCTGGAGCTGAAGGAGGAAAAACTCGGATGCAAGTAGGCTCACACTTAGCCCAGTGGGATGTAATCTGGATTGGTGATTACTAAGCTCTTCCACCAGATCTTGTCAGCATTGTGGAAAGTTCATCCCAAGACCTACCCTGGACTGGAAAGTTAATTCATTAAATTAATTAGTATTAACTAATGAATTAACTTCAGCAGACAGTTGTATGGACAGACTGCTATGAGGTGTAGAGGTGGTGGGAGGTCCTATTACTGTTCTTACCCTCCAAGCCAAGTAACAGAGGCCGGTATCGTAATTTACAGGGTGCCTTTTTCAGCTGTTTGGCAGGACCATCAAGTCCGAAACATCATTCCTCAGATCTATGATGATGTGCAGAGCAGAGGGGAAAATATTCTGCCCTGCATTCCTTGAAGTGCAAAGCAGTTCCCGATTAAAAAAAAAAAAAAAAAAAGTATTATGCAGAGTACATAGAGCAAGACAAGAGCAAATCACAATGCTTGGAACAGGGCTCCTATGTAGTCTTACAATATAAACAATTGTGCTTCAGAAATAGCTAACTGTTTATGCCAGATGAATACCACAGCATTGTGGTGCTCACTAGCACTACCGTCCTCCCCTCTCCTCCCTCTGACATCAATGAGAAGAAAGATTTCCAGGTTTTCTGGACACACCTTGGAATAAAACATCCCTTGTCTCTTCCCTTGGGCATCTCAGTACCTTGCTGTGTCCTTCAAAACACATACTCCAAATTCCATGCAAAAGAAGACAGAACTCCAAGCACGGGCTTTGTGTTCACCGAACCTTCCTTCAAAGCAAACAAAAAAGTCCACATAACACTTTTGTTTCCAGAGATGGTTTTACTGTCTTAGAAATTATAAATAGGCTCTTTTCAGGAGAGAAAGAAAACAAAAACCTGAAATATTTCCAAGCAATTTGGCTCTCTACAAATAGTCAGTTACCTATTTCATTCATGAGCATGTAAAAAATTATTTCTTAACTATCCTTCACACATAATGTGCATTAGTCTCAGAATTAAGCACATAATCAGATTGGCCTCACCCACTCTACCTAATCTTATTTTCCCATTTTCTTTTTCACTGGAAACTTCTGTGCAAAAAACATCTCTTTTTCTCCACAGAATCATGAATATTCAAGGTATTACAGATAATCTTAGAATTAAGTATTTAATGTACAGTTGGGTGCCAAAGTTATTACACTGATGTTTACACTGACCCTTATTGGATGCCAGGCAAAACTTTCAAAAGATGTTTCTAAAGGAAAAAAAAGGAGTAATCCCTCATATATAATCCTGTACGATTCCTCTGCAAAATAATTTACAAGCCTAGTAATTCACAGATTTTGCTCTCCATGTTAATATAAAAGGTCCTACCAATTTCATTCAGGACAAAATAAATCCCTAAAGACTAGGATGCTACAGGATATGGCAAAGTACTAAATATTCCAGTTAGCAATCCACTCACCTCTGGAAAGAGAAAGCTCAGACCTCCAGCAAAACTACAGGCTACTGAAGAAGGTGAAGGAAAAAAAAAAAAAAAAAGAAAAAAAAGAAAAAAAGAAAAAAAAGAAAGAGCAGGGCTTCATTGTAACTGCATAATCTCACCATGACCTAAAATTGGAGTTATATGGTCAATGAACTCCTCAATTGCTGTGTTAACACCTAGTAAAATCTTACCTGATTCTTCCAATGACTATATTGCCTGTGTCTCACCTATTGAGCTAGACTTGACGTTTCTGTATTTCATGCACGATAAATGCTACTGTAAATCTAAGAGATGTAAATGTTTGATGGGGAAAGAATCACCCAGAAGGTAAAGCTTAAACATGCACAAAAAGAAATTCCAAAGACACAAATGTCAGAAGAAACAATTCTCATAATGGGGAACAAGAGATTTTACTCTGATATATTTTATTTTTTTTTTAAATGTACAAGCTAAGCTAATGCATTTCTAATCTCTCTGCATAAACAATCTGCCTAGGAAGAAACAATAACACATCTCTCTTTCACTGCAGTAACACAGTAGACTCAACTGAGAGTGAATTTCCACTGTATTTAAATACTTCAGAGCACTCAGGCTTKGGTTGTTGCAGCATGTGTGTGTTACAGAGTGAAATAAATGTTGGAATGGGGATATGCAATAAGAAGGCATGATTAAAGTATGACAGAGCACCTGTACTTAAGCAATATAAAACTTAAGATTGAGCCTTGACAGATTTTTTAAAAAGCCCCGGAGAGAAGTAGATTTTCATTCTTAGCCCATTCCAAGTCTGGCAAACGAGCTCGTGATGCTGGCAGCAGCCACTCAGTCCTCTAGCTCCTGGCAGTGGCACAAGGAACTCTCCTTAGGTATCCCACTTTCACAAATAATTTACTACAACAATCTAGCAAAGCAAACACACTACAAGACCTGATTACAGGTGTTCTCATACAATATCAAAGGCAGAAACAAGACCCAAAGCATGTTGAGCCTCGAGCCCCCAGTCAGATAAATTCCCTCTGTTGCTTAGATCACTGGATCTGTTGTTCTAGATCAGATGGTCTGTCTCAGTTAGTTCACTACTGCCATTTCTACAGAAAGCAACACAACTCAACACATAAAGAGGAGGAAAAACATGCCAAACAAGGAAAAAAATATTCTAGTTCCTGAACAGGGGGCTGAAGTCTGTTAACTTAATTCATATTAATGCTTTCGAAGTCTTCACCTAAGCTAGGTAGAATTCAGTTATGGACAATGAAAATAAATAAGTATCTCTAAAACACCATTAATTCGACCTGTTTTGCATTTCTACTCCAGGGTCAGATAAATGCTGTCCTAAAAATGACCATCTCTTTTCATCTACAAATGGAGTCCACAGCAACATATGAACGTATGAGTGARATGGCCCTAGCTAAACCACCTGTATTTTACCACAACAGTTACAGAGTATATGCATCTTATTTTGCCTAAAATCTACAATCACCAAAAATCAAAATTGAAGGAAAGCTGACAATTATCATAACACTCCCCAAAGGCTCAAAGTGTTTTCCTTTTTTAAATATTCACCAAAACAAGAACAGACTTCTAAGAGCTAAAATTTACTATTCTCTTTATTAAAAAACTCACATAAAAAAAATGGAGGCTCCAACATTGATCCTGATATCAAACCCTATTGATAGGCCCCCACAACCACTGATTCTCCACAGGAATGCATAGCTTTTGCTCTGGGGCCAGTGTTGCTGTCAGGAGATGCCACATTAACTGTTTTTCCTACCGACAGGCCCTCAGGAGGATCCATTTCCWATGCACTGTGTGGGCACCACATTCACATCTCGGGATGCTTCTAGGTCAGGGCATTTCCACACCAGCTGGCCTGGTCCCAGAGCACCAAGTGCTCTGTGCTGTGACTGGCAACTGCCGAGATCGATGCCTGCCRACAGCCATCGATACCTCTCGCTCTGGGCAAGCAGCTCTGGCTTTCACTCCTGGGCCAAATCCCTTCTTGGTCGCCATCAAGGGTGTTTGACGTCCATCGCTCTCAATATGGCGCAGTAGCTGTGCCCATCCAATTCCAGGCCTATCCAGAGGTTTTGATAGTGATATACATCAATATATACCCAGGCTTTGGAGCAGGCCTCCATGGCTTCCACTCTTGGGATGATCAATAGGGTAGAATTTCAGTATCAGTTCATAGGACTCAAAATAAAATATTTCCTTATACACCAATTCGTCTGTTCTAAGTGTGCTTCGAATGGCTAGAATTTATGCCTCAATAGGAACCTTAAAAATTAAGTGCACTTTTATCTCCGGTATCCATTAAAACCTGTGGTCACTCAATCTTATTAAACATACAGCAATTTTATTTTTGCCTTATATTTGTATAAATTTGAAGTATACACAGTCTGGAAGAAAAGAACTAGGACTAGGTATGCTGTACCAAAAAAAAAAAAAAAAAACACAGTAACAACAACAACGAAAAGTATCATGCCTGGAGCTTGTTCTTTCAAAAGATAAACCTGCAATTTTAAGGACAAATGGGAGGCATAGTAATTCTTCCTCAAACATCCCAAAGGGTTTAAGGTATAGAGCTTTTTTAAGTAGCTGTTCATTCTTGATTCATGCTCATTCTATTTTTTTTTTTTTTTTTTTTTTTTTTTGAGAGAGAGATACTCACTGAATGTAGTTAAAGAGTCAGTTGATCAGCTGAAGATTGTGCAGAACAGAAAAAATAGTCATCAGTCAGATGGGCCATAAAACAGGCAGTATAATAGATTCTGTTTCAAATAAGTTGTCAAGATAGAGATTTTGAATAGGCAAACTCAGCTAGCCTGAAGCTGCTGCACTCAGTCCCATGGAACGAAGAAAAAGTTTTCATTGTGAGCATCAGCTCTAAGCAATAATAAAAACTGTTTCTTTCTCTCTGGAAAATCCTTCCTTGAAAAGTCTTGAACAGCTGGCCATCAACTTCTCTGACCATAAAACTAACAACGAAACTAGGGACTAAGGTCTACTGCACTTGTTATTATAAAGGAGGAATTGCTTGAGAACGTGAAGGGCTGTGTTGACTTTTGTGCTCCCTCTTAYGAGAACGACACTGACCTACTAAGTCCCCTACGAGAACTTCAAGGACAGAGCACAGGATGTACAAGGAGAGGCCGGGGAAGCTTTGCTGAGAAGCAAAGGCTAAAGGGAGATCTTGCTGTTTACAAGAACCTAACAGACAGGTTAGAGAGGACAGAATAGGACTCCCTTCAAGGTGAACAGTGATAGAACAAGAGGCAATAGACACAAACAAATGGACAACATGAGAAATTCAGATCAGATCTCAAAAGTGTTTTTGTTGTTGTTGTTGATGATGTTTTAATTATGAGGGGTGATCAAATATTGGAAAATGTTGCCCAAAGAGGTTTGCAATCTCCATTCTTGCAGATATTCAAAACTCAACAGGGCAAGACCTGAGCAAGAGTTTTTTCTAATAGGTCCTGCTTCAAGAACAGCATTGGACTGGAGACCACAGGAGGTCCCTTTTAGACCATATTATTCACTACACATCAAACTTCATTAAAATATCATGCAAGATCCCCCGAACACCAGGGCCAGCCCAGTTTATATATGTGAGCCGTCACATCACTCTCTTTGCTCATTTCAAGTCTGCATTACACAGCAAGAAGATTAAATATGAAGCCCCTCTTCATTTTCACATCTTCTTCATCTTTTTCTTGCAGCGCTGGTTGAAGACAGGCGAGGATCCCATCAGACTGTCAGCAGAATGAGAACCATAGCTGCTCTCAGAGCCATTGGGGCTCTGTGGCATCCCAGCTTCACTCATGCCCGACATGGGCTCCTCAAAGACATCACTGCCTAGGACCCCGTGCCCGGCTACATTGCCCTCCTCATTTTCCTGGGGCTCCATTTTCACTTGAGCCAAGGTCCACAGAGGGGAAGCGTTCACCTCAGCCCCTGGAGAAAGGAAAAGCACAGAGTAGTCACAGAGTAAAAGCATAAATTACAAAGGTCAAGTGGGAGCAAAGGCCAGCAGCCTCAGTGTGAAGAACAAAAATAAAGCTACAAGTGAAATCATAAAGTCATCTTTAAACACATGAACACTCTATCTAATGGAAAAAAAAAATACAAACAAACAAAAAACAACCAGTGTGAAACAATAAATACGATGTCTGTTGGTGGGCTTTGGGTTATCGATTCTCTCAAAAAAATATTGTACTATTCTTTCAGAGCAATATAATATGGCAATATCCTTTATGGACGTGGTTCACTCCATGAGAAGCAGCCTAAAGGCCCTCCATCTTTCTCYGGGAAGGAATGTCTCAGCAGCAGTGCACAGCCTACATGCACAGTCAGCTTTTCAGGGAAGCTGGAGGGAGCACAGAACTCAAATATAACTTTAGAGAACACAGGGACATAAGAGCTGYTCAGTCAGTCAGACTGCCTGCCTCCTTGTACTTGACACCTGCAGGTCTCATCCCATCCATCTGTAGAACAGAAAGAAACTCTCTTGGCTCAATGTTACAGAGAGCAGACACCCTGCCAGAACACAGGCCATTCTCAGAGGTCAGTTTGCCACAGTAATGGATTGCACATTGATTTAATGGAACTAGCCCTGCCAGTTAAGGAGAATCAGGGAGGGACAGAGAGAACAAAACAAAAACACATTGAGATGGTGAATCCTGGATGATGTTTAGAAAGAAGGGAGTTTAAGATCCATGGAATCACATGGATTTTTTTTTTAAATGACTAATTAGAACAATTATATTAAAACACACGAATTATCAAGCCTTTCATCTAGATTAATTGCATCATCTTCCTTTGATTGCTATCATCCTCCCATCTGCTTTTCCCCGCTCTACCACTGAACTCATTTGATGCATTTAACCCTATCAAAAACACTGCAAGATAGCTTAGACAGGATAAAATTACAATCTTTTAAGTTTGTGAGCTATCTTGGATTGTAAGACTCTGAATGGACTTAGGGCTTTTTAATAGTACCATGACATTAAAAAGTTATAATAACTTGAAATCTTAAGACCACATACACTTTTAAGAAGTCTGTGAAGGCTGGATTAATGATCAACCAAATCTTTACTCACTGTGTCATTTATATGCTCTCTTTTCCCACTGATTCTAGCCAGGACTAACAGACCTGAGGCAAGATATCCACAGAATGCCCAAGTTGATTGAAAACAACAAATACCAAATCCAACTGCTTCTCAGAAAATGAAATGGTTCAAAATACAGGCTTCAAACTTAATTCCTCTGTCACTTGTTCAAATCTAGCTGAGATCAGCAGCTGTAAGTTTTTATCACACAGCTGGCTAGACAGGCAAATGAAAGGAACCTTCCCATTGTAATTAACTCCACAATGGAAGGTTTGTCAGTCCACACCTGTGTTACAATTTGTGATACTGTTTTTTTCTAGTTTCAGATTAGTGTGCAGCTGGAGCAGACAAAAGAATTTTTTTTACAAGAATACAMAAGTGTACTTCTTGAAAACAGAAAATATTCTATCCCCAAAAGGAGTAATTATAGATTGCATTATACCTGCTTATTTATAATTTTAAAGAGAGATAAAAAAGCTACTATTACAACTGAAACTAATTGGACATCTTGCTGAGAGGGGTATAAACAGACTAGAAATTAAGAAAGCTTGAAATCTCCACTCACTTTTGAATCTGATCCCTCAAGTGTAGCTGTAATTTCACATGGAAAAATAAACATAAACTAGGAGAACAGCTATGGTTTTCCAAACCTTTTGTCTCAAGGGGCTTGGCTGCAGTTTGAAAGCACAGCCAAGCCTCATGTGCTGAACTAAACCTACTGTGGTTCCTTACTACTAGCAATTATACAGAAAACAATCTTCTAGCGTGTGTTTGTACCCTGAACATTCCCTTATGAAGGAGGCAGGAATCTTTACCAGAACAGCTTAGCCCAAACCAAGGCTTAGGAGACCGTTGTGCAGGAAACATAGCCCACAGTTCAGGATTTAGACAGCGAGCAAGAATGAAAGTGCTTGCTAATGTCCAGCAACCTTAATGAAAAGCCCCCTTAAATTAATTATAAGTGAATGTATTCCTCTCAAGGACAAGGGAGATGTCATTAGCATGCTATCAGTTCCACCAAGGTACAGCCCTAGTCAACACAATAATCAAAGGTGCTCACTAAATTTACTGTTTCTTTCTTTCATCAATTGCTCTTCATCACTCGGGCTTATTTCGTTCAGCTCTACCATCTGTCACTGAGAGTGTCACCAATAAGTAACACTGCTTAAGCAGGGACACAGGACATTTCATCTTCAAAGCACTTTAACTTCAAAGTACATTACAAATGAGTTAATCTTCACATTATGCTACTAGGTAGAGAACCAGATCCGCAATTTTCCCTCCATTTCCCCATGTGCAATTAAATTAAGCAGCTAGTCCACAGCTGGTGATAAGCAGAAACATCAGCAAAACATGGAAAGTTGTAATGTCAGCTTTGCCCTCAGACAGTGATGCACTGCTGCCCTCTCCATAGACCTCACGCTTGTATTTTTGAGGTAGCAGTGTCCCAATTGTAGCAGCTTTTCCTCACTCCACATGTTATTACACTCCTTCCTGCCTGCCCAGCTTTAGTCCAGGACCTCTTACAGTGATGAGATTTCCCAAGGCCCTTGTGAAGCAAATAGGGATTTTCAGGGAGGAACAAAACACTTGTATTCTTAATTTAAAAACATCAATCGATATCATAGAGGCAAGAGCCATTTAATATACAGCTAGCATGCTAACCCTCTGGGTCTCAAGCCAATGTCAAGCTTTACAGATGAATCACCTGCAAACCTAGAAGGGCCAGAGGAGTCTACTATTCCCCCTCCCCAAAAATATGAGCACTTCACATTTCAGAGGTACCGCAGAAAAAAAAACGTATGAGCTTCCAGAAAAACTCTCAGATAGACTTGTGTTTATTAAAACTCATCAGAAAATGCTATTTTACTATTTTAAGACAACTGATAGAGGTCTACTCTCCCCTCAACACACACAAAAAAAACCCTACATCACCCCCTCAACATCTACAAAAAAGTGCAGTTTTGAAAACAGTAATAATTGCTGTAAAGAAACAGTCTACCTCACAGCAATACCAAACCCTGGAACTTTCACTTTCCTGTAAGCAACATGTGAAACACCGTTTTTCATAGTCTCTGTGTAGGTTAAATATTTAACAAATTCCAACAACTGATACCTTTGATTCTTTATTGTGTGTTTAGAATTTAAGCAAGGGAGTTTCCCCCATTACCTCCTAATATTTTTATTGTAAAGTAAAACATTCTTCTCCCTCACCTTCCTAACATTTACATTTGCTATTAAAAAATGAAACAAGACCACACAGACAACTGAGAGTGTGATTCCAATAGTGGTGGGAATACCTACCCGAAGCCTGCGGGGAAGCTTCTACTTCCAAGTTGGCAGAGAAGCGTTCACTCTGAGCTCCAAGAACTCCCACTGGCAAAGACTGATCACCAGAAGCCAGATCTCCTTCCAGCTCCTCACTTATGGGGAAAGTGATATCACTAACAGGTTCCTCCTTAATCTTCACAGGCTTTGTGTCTTCTGCTGCCTTTTCAGGATTGACAAGCTTTTCATACTCCTCTGAGAGCTGCTTGCTAACCTGTAAAAGATCATTAAGGGGCATTGAGGGGAGAAAAAGAGGACAAAGACTTCAGGGTGACTTCAGAGACTCYGATAGAAGCTACATTGCCCTGTGTTCACTCTCTTCCCAAAACATTACTAACATCTCACCTAAGCAAATAAGTAAGCAGGTTTCAGCTACAGAGTAAAAATTTCCCCCACCTTAAAGAACACTTTCTATGCTGTATCAAGGGATTTTAAAAAGAGAGGTAATTCATCAACATGAATTTATCGCTTGATAAATCTCAGAAACTCTATTTCCATGGATGATGAGATCCAGAAAATTAACTACAGAAAGAACAAGCAGCTAAGTGCCTCAGCTTTGCCTTTAGTTCTAACTATAAGACTGTCCCACCTTCGTGAGTACCAGATTTACTCCAGCATTAAACATCAAGAAGCTCTCACATTCATCAGCTTCTGGTGGTCCCAACTGGCAAAGCCTGGTTGCCCTCTGCCAGGTCCAGAAAAAGAGCATAGTAGAAGTTTTATCCAATCAGACAAATGAAACAAATACAGCAATGCAATTTGGAAAGAGCTCTTTACTTCTAGAAACTCATGAACACTAAGCAATTAAAAAAGTAAACATTTCAGACTTAGCCTTGTTTCTAAGAGGTGCTTGTTCATACCACTGAATTGCAACATTCAGGGAACAGCTGTCAGGAAAAGCCTGAGACTTTTACCAGAAGAAAGAATGAAAAAGAATAGCAAGGATTATTTCCTCCTCCTAGAGATCTTTCCAAATTCAAAGACTAYGTGCACCTTAGTCATGCAGAACAGTTCAGCCATGACCAGCTCCAGGATGAGACTGAACTGCATGAGCAGAACAATGCAGTAGACCCAAATTCTAGCAGCAGAGAACATCCAGGTGTCAGGATGGGACTGCTAACTACRTTCAGTGTTTTATAGTCTTCCAATTTTTTTTTTAAAAAGGACTAACACATCTTTTAACTAATTATTTTTAAGCTAATATAAAGAGCCCCTTTGAAAAAAAATGCTTCTGTGAAGACAGATCTTGATTATGTCATTTTTATGCACCAACCTCAGAATCCTCAGAGCTGTGAGGACGCTGTACAAATCTGCGAGGATGCTGTACAAATCTGCATGTATCTCCACTTTAGTCTGCCTTTGTAAGCTACAATTTGCCAAGCCCAGCAAGAAAAGAGTGCAAGTTAACTCCTACATGAGGATGCAGCTTGCACTCACGTACCATGAGCAGGAGAAAGGTGTAACCTCTGGGAAGATTAGACATGGCTGATTATTTCTTTGGTTGTGGACTAGCTACTTGATTCCAGCCTTGATTTTTGATGAGTAGGAACAGAATTCTCACATTACATTCCTGTATTTCTGTGAGTCCATAAAGGGCAGAAAGTCTCTTATCATTTAAATAAAATGCACATTTCACAGAATACTCGGCCCAAAAAACTATTTATTTATTCTTACAACAAATGTTTATATGGCACCTCTCATTCTAAGGAGAATTAACAATTCCTTTCCTTTATCAAATGAATGCAGTTCCCTCTGGAGTGGAAGGCAGTAACTCTGTTCAACAGCTTAGAGCAGTAAAATACTACCCTATACTCTCTACCAGACTGAACTTCCTATACAGCTTAAGCTACTCCCTTGCACAAGCCAACCAAGCCACTCCACAGAAAATTTCTGTTTTTCTGCTTATTAGATTTCTGAAATGTGAAGCAGGCAAGGGCCACATCAAAGCAAAAATTCAGCTGATCAGACAGTACTCATTTTGCTTCTACTTCATATTCTTGTTTGGGCCATTGAGATGGGGACACAAGTAAGGGGCTCTCTCTTCTAGTCAATATTGAAAAAAAATCCTGTTTTCCCCTTGCCTTGATGTCTCTCCTTCACCAATAGGTTTTCTAACAGCATTTTACCACAGTAAGAGACAAGACTTGATAGATGAATAAACAATTGTACTGAGGTTACTTTTCTTAGCACTTCAAGCAAGCTACTGTTCCCTTCACCTGAAGCATGTAGCTGTGATAATCCTTAATACGGTGTTGCCAGAATTTCTGCAGCGAGAGCACACTGCCAATGCCCACTTCATGGAAGACCTGCTCCATGACGTCAGGGAAAGGGGTATAGCCAAGTCGAGCTTCTCGATCCACTGCGAAGCGCAGCAGCTTGGTGAACTTCAAGCAGTACTCGTGGGCAATGTCTGTAAGGGTCTCCAGGACACTCTCGTTGGCACACTCAAAGCCGGTGTGAGCAAGGATGGTGGCCATTGACTGGTAGAGAAGCTGCCGGCAGGAGGACCAACTCAGTTCAGTCACAGGCTCCCCTTTTCCTCTGAAAGAGAGGRCAGAAAATAGCTTCCTTCCAAGCACCGACAGAAAGTTCTAACCAGTTCAAACAACACTCTCATTACTAAGATGAGCTACAAGGAAAAAATATATYTATATATTTGAGTTCTCCACAGCTTCTCCACTATCTAGGAACAATATCTAGAAGAACTTTGTCTGCGTTCCCTTCTTCCCCTTCCTCAAAATCAGCACTGGCATGGTTCCTTTAACCTTCTAATGCTGTAAACGTCCTTGGGTTATTAATATATGTGGGATGCAAATCTTAACCCTTAAGGAATTCCCTTCCCACCCAAGAGCTTTTCTTCTGAAGCTGTGAATTAAATGTGACCTTGATAAAAAAAAAAAAAAGGCATAAACGCAAAACATTTCTTATCTCAGTTAATTACATTTTTCTTCCTTATTATCTCTCATGTCACAAGCCTAAGAGTCAGGTACAGAGGCCTCTGGGATAGAGAAGATCTGACTTTTAATACAAAAAAGACACATAAGAAAAAAAAAACAACCAATAGAATAAATACCCTTATACATTCACCTCAGAGCTACGTTGTGGCCAAAAAGACCATGTCACTACCCTCATCTCTAATAATCACTTGGTGAGATAGGAAACTAATTTTCCCAGTAGGCAGTGTAAGCAGTGAACACAAACCCTTGCTAGAAAGCCTGGAGAAGCCCTGCCTTACAGCAGCATTCCTTTACCTTGCATTTGGGACTGTGTGTGTTTTTAAGTGGTAGGAAGTGGCAATCCAGGATAGCAGAGGCAGAGAACAACTAACATGAGCATTTCAAACTTCATCCATTCACAATCAGGCAACTGAATTTTTCAGTAAGATGAGATAGCAGATAGAAATTCCACACAGGAAGAAGAGAAGAKAAGACAAGGCCTTTGAAAGGCAAAYGTACTTAAACCAGATTTCTAAATTCACAACTGTATGTATATAATTTATTTAGCCATGTAAGTAAAACTATCTTCAAATGGTAACTCTTTTCTGATTTAACATGAATAATGGATATAGAGTGCTGTCTATGTCCTTTGGTAACATCCTATGTTACCAAAACTACCAAACTGATAATCATCAATAAAGAAACAAGTAAACAGCTATTATTAACTCTATACTATTCACACAAAACACTATGGCCAAATCTAAACAAGGCACAGAATTGAGCAAATCTATGCACAATACTCCCCTACTTCCTCTGACATGGAATGCAGCAACCACTTAGCAATGCCTATCATTGCTCAGAAGCAGTAGAAAACACCAGGTCTGTTTTAAATTCCCGGTGGAAAAGAAACTAATTGCCAAGATTAAAATGCAGCCAAGTCACTATGCTGAAAGAGATACAATCAATTTGAAATCTAACCAATTAAAGACAGAGAAAAGAAATTCCAGTCACTGCGCTCAAATTCAAATTTCCACCTTGCTGTAGCAAGATCAATCAATTTTAGTTTGGTTTGGTTTTCTTCCCTTGACTTCCTGTTTCCCATAATAAACAACAGGAGAAGGCAAGTTTATCCTGATTAGATGGAGAAATTTGGAATACTGCTATAAATGTTAATACAAATCAACAGATGAGAAAACATTCTTCTCTTCCTCATCTTCTTTAACTTTCAGGTACCACCTAACAAGAGTGCAAACACACAGGAAGAGACATAGACAACACATCGTAATTTAAGATAAGATGTCTAATTTCAAACCTTCCCAAGAAGGACCAAGAAAATGCTTCTTCTTCCTGACCATCACGGTAAGAGATCCTTGGTCTCAGATGTCAACAAAATGCCCAGTACCTCCAAAAGCACCTTTATGAAGACTGTCATTACACGAGAGGCCACTTTCTGCAATACTTACTGCTTTCCTGAGAGGCCCCCATTTAAACCTTGGCCTTTTTAAACACACTATCAATGTCACATAGTCACAAGTAAATAAAAGACAAATTTCATCCCCAAGATTCAGTTACCAGAGATTAACAAGGCTGACTATTAGGCCTGCAGATCACAGAATCACGGAATCATTTGGATTGGAAAAGATCTTTAGGGTCATCAAGCCCAACCGTAAACCATTCAACACCATACCTGCTAAATCTTGTCCCTAAGYGCCTCATCTACACRTCTCTACAGAAGGTAGAGTATAAACCTTACCATAAATGCTCTGAAACATTGGTCAACTTGTCACTCAACAGTTTGGGGGTTTTTTTGAGGAGATCTAGATTTTTATGGGTCACCAACACKAGATGATGCTACAAGATTAAAACCACTTTGCCCCCAACATTTGCTTTCCTACCTCAGTACAGACATTTCCTATCCACAAGCCATGAGCTGTCTTCCCATTGGGAGTTCCCAATTTCATTCACAGATAAGCTTTCCGTGCAAAGCATACATCTAATGTGCTCAGGAACACAAATGAAGAGAAGAGCAGAAAAACCTGTTAAAAACACAACCACATACAGACAAGAAAAAGCATCTGGGGAGACACATAAGGAGTAGATAGGATCTTTGGAAGGCAGATCTATGTGATCGAGGGAAAGCAGATTCCATGCTAGTGGGAGAAAGCTGAACAGAGAGGAAGGAAAAGCTGGCATCCATTTTACAGTAAGAGTCTCTTGTTCAAAAAGTAGTTTTAAGTCTATGGTTCCTTAGTGATTCTTCATCAGATATGCATATCATCAAGCATATAGAGCAKATCATCAAGCAGATATGCTTTAAATTTACCTTCTGTTTCTACAACAACCAAAATCAAATTATAATCCTTTATCCTGTATCTGGAGGACAGTAACATCAACAGCTAAGAATCATCAAGAGGAGATGGTAATTAACCCAGGAATACTACAGGAATTCAAGGATGAAACAGCTGAATAGCTGCTGTGTATTTCTGCCTTGGCCCATGATGACCAGAAGTTTGAAAACGTGAAAATATTTAAAGGATTCCAGAAGAGATGCGAGGACTGCAGGCTGGGAAGCCAAATATGTTCTGCTGCATCACGGAAATTCATAGAAATGCTAAGAACAGAATTAGAGGACACATGGGTAAAATGAAATAACACCCAGGAGAACTCAAGACAGCTTATGTAAATGGCAGTCCTGCTTCATAAGCCTGCTAGAGTCCCCCCAAAGGCATCAGGAAGCATCAACATGCAAGTAYGTAGAGATCTCCACTATGGAGCTGAGGGCTTTGCACAAGGAGGTGTGCCAGGACTGAGGCTTTTCCAACATAATTATAAAGAGCCTGGAAAAATKCAAGAGGGGAACAGAGATCTGATCAAATTTGCTGATGGCACAGACAGGTTACATGAAAAGAGTAACAGAATGAATTCAGGGGATAACAGTGAAATAGATGACAAGGATGTGAGGTCAAAGAATCAAAATGAAAAACAAGGGAACAGAGGAGGGCATGACAGTGTACTATATTAAAGACAGTTGTGGTCTGATTCRCAATAACTGCTCTTGTATTCCTTTCTTTTTATGTGTAAATATACTGACAAACAGTTTCTGAGACACAAGCTACTGCCAAAGAAAACAGAATTAAAATATCCATTTAGTCTATAACTGTAAATCTAGCAGTAGCACACAAGAAAGAGCCATAAAATTAAGCAGCACTATGTGTTATCAAGGAGAAGAATGGCCTTCCTTGAATCATTTTACATACTGAGAACAAGCTCTAGCAAACCTTTAAAATTCATTTCTGTTACTTTAACTGCAGCTGTTACTCATGTAAGCGTCTTAAAGCAGTAAGAAAAGACATACAACAGCAATCTAAACCTTTTTCTTCTGGAAAAGCATAAATATGCTTAGCTGAGAAAGCACACATTAAATCCAAGTCTACACTGCAGCCCATTACAAAGCTACCCCCTATCAGCCACAGAACATTTCACTCTGAAATTGTCCATCAAGCTTTTGCAATCTAGTCCTTACACTCCCCCATGTGGTTGATTGTTAAATAGCATTTTTTTTTTTGACTGACCCCCGATACTGACAGCACAAAGGCAAGGCAAAACCTGGCCATAGACAATTAAAGTTCGAGCTGAAGCCAGTGAACAGGGAGGACGGAGCAGAGCGTGGCATGCAGCACAGCACTGGCTCAGTTCAACAAACCATAGTGCCAAGAACAGGAATCACAGGACTCAAAATTTGTTCTAACAGAACTAGGTTTCTCTTCACACCTTTAGCTCAACTTACTTTATTTCACATTTGTTTCCCAGGTGGAATCTATAGCTCACAGAATCACAAAATGATTGAGTTTGGAAGGGACCTCTACAGATCATTTAGTCCAACCCCTCTGCTCAAACAGGGGCACCCAGAGCACAGGGCGGCATTCAGGTGGGTTTGGAAGCTCTGCAGAGAAGGAGACTCCACAGCCTCCCTGGGCAGCCTGTTTCAGCGCTCTGTCACCCTCACAGAAAAGAAGTGCTTCCTCTCCTTTTCTAAGCCTATTTTAGTCTTTACATACAACTTAGCCTCTTCAGTTTAAAGGAATCTGTGCAACTCCATATATGTTTAAAAACACTCATCTCTCCTGCAGCCGAAAGCAAATCCAGAGGAGTACCAGCACACCTGTAGAAATCGCTCTCCGGGTCACTGTGCCTCAGCTGAAAGGGCATTTTGGGGTTCTTGCTATCCAGAGGAAGCAGGTCGTCGGGCAGCGGCGGAGAGGCAGGACAAGGCGGCAGGGGCTCGTTCTCCTCCGTCTTGATGCCCTCCACTTGCTGCTGGTTCTGGGCCTGGGCGGCGGCGATGAGGCTGCGCAGGCGGCGGTTGTGCTGGATGAGCTGGATGGTGTGGATGGTGAGGCTGCAGGGCTCCGACGGGATGTCCAGCATGGTGGTGGCCCGCGGCTTGTTGGCCGAGGGCTGGTGCAGCGGCGGGTCCTGCACCTCCACGGTGCGGAACTCGCGCTGGAGCAGGTCGAAGGAGCTGCGGTTGGCCTGGCCGGCGGGCACGGGGATCTCGCCCCAGTAGCGCAGCATCGTCCTGCGGGCAGCAGCCCCCCAGGCCGCCGCCAACGGCCGCCGCCAACGGCCGCCAACGGTCGTCGAGCCGGAAGCTAGCCCCGGTCCGTCGGTAGAAGGGGCTCCCCCGGAAGCAGCTCCTCAGTGCAGGCGGGACAGCGGGGCGCTCTCGCCGCCGCCGCCCCTGCCGCGTCTCTCCCGGCCCGGCGCGGCCCGGGCGGCTCCGGCGGGGCGGCCCCGGTGCCCCGCGCCGCGGC